AGTTTTCGTTTCTTGTGTGGTTTAGCTTTGATACTGGAAATTCCTTCTTTTCAAAGTGTTGAGAGTACTCCAGCCTGGGTGGCACTCGCTACTAATGATCGTGACCCCACGCCCTATTGTCCTCCGACGAGTTCGGGCCTAGCCCTTTGTGGGTCCAACAGGGAAGGTAGGGAGCAGGGTCATGACATAAGGGGAGAGAGAGAAAGCGAGGTCCGGCGGGGGGGGGGGGGGGGGGGGGGATGGGGGTGGGGGGCAAGTTTCTAAATTATTCATGAAGAAGTTTCAAAGTTCAGAGGAATTTTGCCTTCCTAAAACTAAACTGGTTTGGTTGGTTTGAAACCTTTTGTGAGTGAATAATCGACTCGAACGATAGGTTATCTTTGAGTTAGAATAAGGATTTCAAAAAATTGAACTTGGGGAACATAATTCAAATCGTAGTGCAAATTTGTAGTTACTTAGAAAAATTTGAAACTTGAAAAAACTAAAACTTAAAAAGGTCAAAATATTTGTCTGGTACATCAAGTATCGTATCGTGTTCTGGAATCAAAAGCCTTTGTGGTTGTCTTGTACTTGCAATACTCGACAACTCTTTGGAATGGATCACCCCTGGACTTTATTTGAAATACTGGACAACCACAAAGGCTTTGTGATACCAGAAAATTGTCCAGTGTTCGAAAGGTGTGGACAATAAGAAAGGCTTTTTTATTCCAGAAAGTTGTTCAGTGTTCGAAATACCAAACAGCTATAAAGGCTTTGTGATTCCAGAAAGTTGTCTAGTGTTCGAAATGCCAGACAACAACAAAGACTTTTTTTATACTAGAAAGTTATTTGGTGTTCGAAATACAGGATTGTCACAAAGGCTTTGTGATTCCAAAAAGCTATCCGATGTTCAAAATTGCATGGGTACATAGCAACTCGCAAAAGTCAGTTGATTGGTGTTGGCAGTGAACCATAGTTGAAATTGCATGAGTACATGGCAACCCGTTGTTCCTCCACACTTTGCAAGTACAGATTCGAGCATCTAGATCTACAGCATGTGTCTTATCCTCATGGATCTCATATTACAGTATGCTCGAACCTCTACTTCGTATTCTATTCATTAAGAACTTCTTGCGCTTTAGGCACTAGAACACCATTCCATTGCTCACCTTCTTGCAGACATTCATTCCATCTCTTGGCTAACTTTATTCTTAAGATTTCGCACAAAGATGAGAGGCATGTCATGTTTCTCTAAAATCCAACTGTTAAATGACTCAGATATATTAGATGTAAGATGATCGTACCTCTTACCCTCGAAATAAGCATTTGCCCATTATTATTTTCCCTATTTCATTATCCAATTGTAAGCCTCTTCATCTATCTCTTTAATTTTCAACATCTCTTCCTCGAACCCTTCAATAGATAATGTTCGTGCGGCATTTCACCACTTCTTTAGGAATACTCTGCTTTTCCATTTTCTCTTGAAATTGTCTACAAGATGGCGCATGCAATGATCTGGATATGATCTCGGGAATACAGTTTTGGTTGCAGTTTGCAAATCCTTCTAATGATCACATGGAATTGACAAACATGGTAAGTTTCTTACTTGCTAAAGAAACACCCCACAAAATCTCTAGGAATCATATCTAACCACGACAAGCGCAACAAGAAATGTGCTACCATTAGCATCTATGACAATTGCAGCTAATAGGATCTCCATATATGTTCCCTTCAAGAATGTCCCATCTAACCCTAACAATGGCCTACAACCATGCAGAAATCCATTGAGGCATGGACGAAAGCTAAGAAAGAGACACTCAAATCTACTCTGCTCATCGGTTTGTATGACTGATATAGTTCTAGGGTTGGTGATATTCAGTTTCTCAAGATAGAGAGGTAGTTCAGTATATGATTGCGCTTCTAAGCCTAGGATCATTGCCCTTGCAACTTCTTTGCCACACCAAGCTTGCATGTATGATATTTGGACCCCATGATCATGATGAACATCATTTGCAATATCTTTAAATTTGAGTGTCATCTAGCCTTTTAGCTGATGTTTAATCCTTTTTGCAACCCATTGGCTTCCTTCCAACCCTCTGCAAGTGTGCTCATTTATAAATTCTCTCACCCTGAAGTATTTTGACTATCTGACTCTAAGCACCGCACGTGCCAAGTGCAATCCAGTGCTCCTTTACAATATGCACTCACTTTTTCTTGATCATTTCTATAATACTTCATCATAAAATATGATACATCGCATAATCAACTAAGTGATTACATAATTCCACAACAGTCTCGAAATCCTGTCCCACAACTAGGTCCATCAGTGAGCGTGTTGATATGAATAGGGTCTCTAAGGACGTCGTGTCGTCTACATCACATTCTATCACAAGCTTGGCCCTGAATTCAGACTCCTGCTCTGCAACTATGTTACTCGTTGTAGCGACATTCACTTGTACAAAAGGGCAGCTGCGAGAAAAATTTTCAAGCATTTAGTATGTATCGATCCACATCTAGTTCAAATATAATTTAAATATTGAAGGTCTTTCATCACACATACCTATCTCTTGTTAATGGAGCAAATGTATGAACAATGAGCAGATGCTCCACTAGATTTGGTTGCGATGGCTGGTTTGTAACACATACGTATATATTGGAGGCTACCATCATCATACACGATACATCCCCATCATCTATTTAATCAAATAACTGGGCTCGAGCTCAATATAGACCCATATGAGCCTTTAATTGCTGCAGTGAATCGCCCCCATTATATAATGTGGCTTTTAAGTTACCGTCTTTATAACTTGTCTATCTATCATTCTGATTACGCTCAAAATAACCACCATGGTGAAACAATAATCTAACTCCACTAGTAGCCATGAATCAATATGGTGAGTAGTATTAATGTAAAAAGGTCTATATAATTGATATAAATTTCTTACTTCATAAGATCCAACATAACCAGAAAATATAAAAAACGGAAATAAAATTGAGCAAAAAGAATGTGTACATCATATGCTATAACATAATAAGAACAAACATAAAATAAAATAAAATGATATACATATACCTTAACCATAGAATAAGAACAACATTGAGATCAAATGGAAGTAACCTAAATTCTAGATTTGCAGTTTTTTTCTATAAGATTGCATAACCTAAATCTTCTAGATAAAAGAAAAAATCCCTCACTCTTGGGGTTTATTTTTTATGACCAACAATACACTCATGTAGGAGCATAAATATTTTTTTTTATTAACAAAGTAAAATAGTATCATGTGACTGAAGCTATCTCACTACATTTAATCAGTAAAAATCCATTAAACCCTAAGATTAGATGAACTCAACATTTTTTTATAAGATAAATAGGGAACTCACCACTACATTCAAGGCATTCTCGATCTTTCTTTTTTCTTATCAATCAATAAGCATTCATTCTCAATCCAATTGAATATTCAATAAGACCTAACAATGCATATTTTCAATCACAATCAAATAGGAAAATGAACATTCAGAAGTGAACCAAAAACCCTAATCCATCATTTACAAATTTTGGCGTCATTTTATCTCAAAAACCCTAATCCTCCAAATCTCATTTTTCCCAAAAAAAAGAAAAGAAATCTGAAACATACCTGATTTGATTGTGGATTGAGATGCTTGCTCGAATGTCACAGAGAGGGTTGGGCTACAGGAAAGATAAAGCGAGAGAAGTGCTTGACTTGGGCTTGGGCTTGGGCGGGCTTGACCAAACAGCGAGCGAGAGGAGAGAACGAGAAAAGAGAAAACGGCGAAGCGAAATGGGGCCCGCAGCCAAGCATATGTCAGGTATTTCGAACATCGTGCAGCAAACTCAACTTGAAAATTATAAAATCCCCTGTCTGATATTACGAACACCGGACATCAAACTCACAACTTAAAACGCATGCCCCCGTATCCAATGTTTGTATTACCTGACAATGTTTGCTTACCCATTAGTGTTCGTACCTAATTTTCTCAAAGCTTTTTAATATGAGATATCATAAAAAGGAAAAAAGTTCATATAGAGCCAAGGCTCTAAACAATCAAATTAGAGCCCACCTCAAAAAATTAACTAGAAGAGGTTGTTTTGATGCCCAAATATCCTAAAATTGATTTTCTCTATAACATGAGAAAAAAAAATGGATTTTAAGTTTTAGAAATAGTGCATCTTGTAACACATCTTTGGATTGTCAATTTTCGAGATTTCAAGCTTTCGTATATCTGCTCGATCTACGCTATTTTTGAAGCCTTAAATTTTATAATTGAAACCACATTTCTTGACACTATTTGAAAGTGTGTTTTACTTTGATTGTTTAGAGCCTCGGCCTTATACAAACCACACCCTTATAAAAATATACATTAATTTTTTAAATTATTGGAAATAAACTCTCAACTTTCTAAAACCTCATCTATATTCATTTTCTTTACTTTTTTTTTATGACCAAAATAACCTTCGTAGTAGTCTTAAAACCATAAAGACATCACAGTAAACTCACTACTGTGATGGTCATGGGCAGTTTAATGTTTTGAGGCATCATGACCCTTACACAGCCGTGATGGTTATTAAGAGGCATGACACATTGTGATGGTCATTAAGGAATCATGACACTTTAAAAGCAATGATACTTTAGGTAAAACTGTAATGCTTCAAAACTACATTTGACTTACAACCCGCGATGACCATCTCAGTGCCATCATGGTTCTAAGATTACTAATGCACATACTATTTTTTTCTACTCACCTAAGAAAAAGGTATAGATGAGGTTTTAAAAAAAGTTAGGGTTTATTTTCCATGATAAAAAGTTTAAAGTATATTTTTTATAATTTAATAATCATGTAGTTGATAATTAGACGGATCTCGAAATTTCAAATAGAAAAAAAACTCCAAATAAGTGTTTCGCCAGATGGAGTACATTTATAGTATGCTCCCGACGGGGCAGAGTACACGGCCTCGAAAGAATCCTGAGTGAACTTGCTTTTTGCAGGTGATAGAAGACGGTGAAAGAAGGAACGGAGCCTTAAAATTTCTCCTGAAAGTCGAGCGCGAAATATGAGAGAAGGCCACCGCTGCTAGTTCTCTCTCTCGATCGATTTCGTCGTGGAGGTCTCGTTCTCACTCAAACACGCAGTGGGTGGGTTATTGCTATTTTACGTTTCAGATCCTGCGTTCATGAACACGGGAGTGCGGGTTTAATGGCGAATTTCTCTGTTTAGTTCACTTGGTGCAATCGGGGACTAGAGCAGATCAGATCAGATGGCCATGGAGTGGTTGACTCTCCAGCACCTGGATCTGCGTCATATACATCGTGGCCTCAAACCCTTGCAGCCTCATTTCGCTGCTTTTCATCCAAATCAGGCCATTTTGGCTGTAGCCATTGGAAGCTACATAGCTGGTGTGGTCTCTTTCCATGCATTTCTACTCCTTTCCAATTCCCTTTTATATGAAATGACTGATGTTTAATGGAGCAATACCTAAGAAATTTGAATTTTGTGAATGTTTCTGGTACTCATAGTTGAAAAAATTATTCACGTTTTCTTTTAACAACATTGTGTGCTTGAAAATATTCAAATTACTTTCATCAATTCAAGCTTCATCTCCTGATTTTCACTCAATGAGAAAGAACGTTTAGGTTGCTTTTCATTTAATGGAGTGTGGATGAGGGTTGTCCTCAATACTCAAGATGTAGCTTGATGGTTTGTGACTTGATCAAATCATTTGGTGAAACTGGTGATGTTTAGGGTTGATGATCTCTGGTTTCTTCCATTGAATAAAGCTTGTGGTTATCATTTCTCTTCCTTTGCCCACTTACGACTCTCTTGGGTTGCCCTTGAGGGGATGCACATTCAGGAAATGGACTCAATCCCTTTGTGCTTCTTGAGGTAGTTGCAGCACCCACGTGGCCACGTCAGACTTTATTTAGGACTTTTACACATCAAATCTGATTTTTTTAGGAAGTGTCAAAACCTGGCGGGAAAGTTGGTGTTAAAACATAGGCTAATTTATTTTCTTGCTTGTTAAAGTGGAAACCAGTGAACTTTGTGTTGCATTAATGATGCAATCAGGGGATCTATTTTAAAAAATAGAGTTCAGTAGGGAAACAAATAGGCCTGAGTAGACAAGGAATACATTCAAATTCCTGTGTGAATTTGATTCCCTGGTAGCTTCTTTTAGGTCCATGGTTTGCCCATCTAATTATCATCAAGACATTCGCACTCTACAATCAAAGGACTTGATGGAACTGAAGGAAGCCTTCGGATCCATTTGCTGATTTTTCTTTTAGCTTAAGTCAAATGAATGAGCCAACTAGCCCCACCTTGCAGTAATGTCTATGTACAACAAGGAAAGCAGGAGAGCTAGGCATTCGAAGGGTAGAAGTGTTCAACTTTGCATTATTGATCAAATGGCTATGCGGATTTGCACTTGTTAAGCACAAATATGTCGTGGATAAGTTGGACAGTTGGTTAAACGAAGTCAGCCATATGGAATTGAGAATTGGGAGGATAGAAGAATATAAGGTTAGCACAAGAAAGTCTTGGAGGTGTATTAAATTCAGCCTTGGAGATGGAAGATTTGTAAGTGTCTGGAATGATTTTTGAATGGGAAATAACAACCTATCTAAGCATTTCCCCACATTGGTCACCATTCTACCAATCCGAATTCCACTAGTGCAAATATTCTTCTAAATTCGATAGTGTAATGGGTGTGGATCCCCACTTTCAGGCAAGGGATGAATTATGTAGAGCCATGCGAGGTATAGAATTTGTTGTCTTGCTTGCAGGAAACATTCATACCCTACAGCAAGGGGGAACACTTATTTGAAGCCCAAATGGTAGGGATGATTTCTTTGCCAAATCCATCTTCCTAAGCTTAATGGCAATCGCCAAACAGCTGTAACTTTGAGTAGAGCACGCAAGCTATCAGGCTTGTCTAGAGTGGTATGGTGAATAGAAAGGTGGGTGGCATGGTGAATAGAAAAGTTGGATCTGGGAAATAGGACTTGATATTTCTCTTTGATGCAGGACGACCGCGGTGTTGCTAAAATTCAATAGCAGGGTAGTACTTTATGCTTGGATCTTTTCTATTGTAGGCATTTTGAGAATTTCAAGGTGCTATACTACTATTTTAAGAGAATGATCGTGATTTGTTTTTTGTTTTTAATTAGCATTCTTGTTTTATTAATCCTTGATAAAAATCACAAATATAGAGTCATAGGTACAAATTGAGTGGGCTTCTATAGTTATAAAAAGAGAAAAGATGATAAAAATTTAGGTAGTTAGGGAGCAGAGACCAATCAATTATGGTCTTAGTACATAATTCTTATATAAAAATGAAAAATTAGTTGCATGGTTTGACTCTTACCAATTATGCACAAAAGTGATCGGTATATGCGTACATTTTCTTTAATTTTGTAAAATATGTAGGTAGGCCTCCATAATGGCATTTAGTCTATGCCCATGCAACCACATTCAAGTTGTCGCCTTCAACCCCTTGTGATGTCCACTCTGTTTGGATTACTTGTATGCCTGTGAAAGGTGTCAAGGCTTCTGCTTTAGTGGAGCCTTTGTCCTCTTGGGACCTCAGTAGTATGTGGTGATAACTTGTGGTGATAACTTGTGCTGTATGCAATCAAGAAATTCCTCCCATACTGGCTGGGCTAGGTTTGCCTGCAGAAATATTATTGAGTTTGAGTTTGATTGTACCATAGTTACCAGAATCTCTCCACTGACCTTGCGTTTCCAGTTCCGAAACCCGATTCCGTGTTTCTGTTAAGGAATCTCCATATAAATTGTTTTTCGGAACCAAGGAAACTCGATTTCTTAATTTTGGAATCTCAATTCAACACATCTTTAGAAACCATTTTTCGAAACCAATAAAACTCGATTCCTTAATTTCGGAATCTCGATTCAACACATCTTTAGAAACCATTTATCGGAATCAAGGAAACTCGATTCTTTAGTTTCATAATCTTGATCCAACACGTCTTTAGAAACTTAAACCCATTAATTGTGGACAGATGTTCCCAAATATATTGAATCTAGATTCCAGCGAGGATTAAATCTTGATTCCATGTCAATTGGTACACTAATTCAAAGTACATAATCTCCAATGTCTATGATGGTTATGCACTTTCTAAAGGAAATTGGAGTAGAAATCTTCCTTTGAATGCTTCTAGTGGTTGCAAGGTTTCATTATTTTATTTGTGCCACCCTGGACAGCGTTTACCTTAAATTTCAAATATCATTGGTAAATACAACACATACAATTAAAAGAAAAGCCATGTTGTAGACATAATTCTATTTTGTCTTTTATAATAATGAAGTCAAAATCATAATTTTGAAATACTTGTCTTTTGTATATAATGGCCGTAAGTTCAATAGTCAACACAATCACTTTAACATTTGGAAAACCTTCTAATAAGAGACATCCAATATAGGTTCTAAAGTTGATAAGGATCAAAATATCCTTGTGGCTTCTTTCTCCATAAAAATGAAATCTCGATTCCTGATAGGGGTCGTCAAACACATTCCATAGTCCATATTATTGTAAATCTTGATCTGAAACTGGCATGGATCTCTGATCCATATACTCTATTCCACATATATTCGAAACAACAACAAATCTTTGTTCCACATGTCAGAAACTCGACTCTATAGATGTTGGATACTCGATTCTGCATGTTAATGAATCTGGACTCTTGGAGTGTCGATTCCAAGGAGATGGGAATCTCGATTCCATATGTGGATGAAACTTGGATCTATTTCGGTTGAAACACGATTCTCAAAAACTAGGAATCTCATTCCCAACGATTCCTATTGTACGGACAATGATTCCTAAGACAAGAATCTTCTAGCCGGCCACGATTCCGCGATTCTGGTTCCTAAAATGATTCGGGTTCCCAGGCGTTTCCAACAACTATGGATTGTACCTTCTAAAGGTGGAATCTTTTGGTGGTGATAGCTTCTTTTTAGGTTTTGCTTCTGTTATTGCTTTCCATTGGCTATGTAAATTTGTGGATGAAAAGCTTGAGACATCTATTTTGGTTGTGGCCCGTCAGATGACATATGCAATCATCTTATCTTTGAGTTGGTTCATTTCCATTGCTTAACTTTTGAAAATATGTTTGTTTCATTTGGTCCATATGAACCACATTATAGCTTCTATACTTGGTCTCTAAAGAATGACTCCTTTGCGTGGGATGAGTCCTTTACATGGCATTTTTTCTTCAATATTTGGAGAACCATCTCAGTGGCATGAGTAAGGGAGTTTATTGATGTTTGTTTTGTGGTTTAGACTTGGTAACCATTGGAATGTGGCAAATGATTTCATAGAATTTGATGAGAAATTTTAAAGAAGGTAATGTGGAGAATGAAGAAAGCTGTGACTTCTGGAATACTAATAGTAGAAGGAATAAAATAGAAGGGAAAGAAGAAGTTTATCGCTGCTCTTGTGGAAAAACTTGGGAGTATCTTAAGATCCAGTTGAGATTGATTGAAAGCCATTACGTACAATGGAAGGTAAACTAAAACTGCCCCACTTGAACAAACAGAGGCAGCATAAGAATAAGTGGATAAGTGAATGAGGAGAATTTAGATTGTCCATAATCCATATTCCATACAATGCTAGAACCACATAGCATACACACAAGAATTAGATAGTAGAAACTAGAATCTAGAAAATAAGAAAAAGAAAATACATTGTCTAAGACTCAACAGTCAACGCTAAGATTCAAACGTCTTCATTCTTCAGTTATCATCATCATCATCAGAAGGAGTAGGATAAGCCTCATCATATGCATCAGATTTGAGGCCATCATCATCAGAGTCATTTCCCTGTTCAACATAATGCTTGTCCTCTTTTGTTTCTTCCGAATTTGTCTCTTCCTCATCTTCTTCCCCCCCCTCTAACTCTGTGCAGATGGGGGCCCTAGGAGTCTTGGCCTTAGGAGCTAGACAATGCTAGAAGAACCTAGAGAAGATATTTTCATAGAACAAGGCTCATTTTCTTCATTTTTTGGTTCTACTAAATTTAGATATTGTCTAATCTCATCCCTAATAGCTTCAGGAACCTTTTTACAAGAAGAAACATTCTCTTGAATACCAGCAAGGTGTTTCTTGAATCGGTTAATACTCCCATTTGTTTCTTTTTTACAAAAGTACTCCTTATACAATTTTTATCGTTTGGTTTCGGGTTATAACCATACTTCCAATGCGGATCACCTCTTCTAGCAGAACCAGAAATATACCTATCAAATGACAAGGATTTTGTTCCTGTTTGTGTTTTACTGAACTCATATATTGGTTAATCTCCTCTCTGATAGCTTCAGGAACATTTTTACAAGGGGCAACATTCCCCCAAATACCGGCAAGATGTTTCTTAAATCGGTTTATGCCATCTTTTGTATCTGTTTCACAATTATTGCATCTTATGCAATTTTTAATCCGAAGGATTCGAGTTATAGCTATATTTCCATCCTGGGTCGCCAGTTCGACTAGATCCTAAAGAAGACATCTCAAAATAATACAAGCAATTTAAAAAATAAAATTCTGCACTTACTTTGATTGTTTCATCTCCAAACGTCTGCCTTTGAGATGTTTTCTAGGGCTAAAATCTTCAAAAAACCTCTAATGGGCTTAAAAAAACTCCAAAACTAAATCTAATCTCAATGGGTGATATTTCGATCCATTTCTTGTAACTTTGAGAGACCCTTCGATCCTATGAAAATCACAAAGTCTAGTTTTTTTGAGGTTTCTCTCTCTCTAAAATGGGCTCTAATGGGGTTTAGGTTTTAAATGAACCTAAAACCCACTTTTAAAACCTTTTATTTTTCAATAAAAACCCAAAAATACCCCTTAACAAGGGGCATTTCCGCCCTTGGGCAGGGAGCAGGCCCTGGGTGCCTGCCTAGATGGGTGCCCCATTGCCTAAGCGGCCGCCCAGGGGTAGACCCCCTAATTTGGCTGCCTAGACCGCCTAGGCGCTGGGTGGTCTGCCTTTTAAAACAATGATAGGGACTACAACTTGTACAATAACTTGATGGTCATTGGGTAAAAAATAATGGAGAGACAAACGAGTTGAATATTAGGATAAGTGAATAATATTTTCGTTATTTGTGTTTGGTCGTAGCATATGATCATGCTTATTGTTATATCTGTTATATGCTTCCAAATTATCTGGTTTTTTTTTCTTGCTTTAGCCTCATCTTGAAGACATGAACTTGATCTTTTCACTATATGTGGCATGATGGAAATTTTATTCTCTTAATACTTGGTAAAATGTGTTGGGATGGTATGGTTTAATGTTGCTTGCCATTTTAAATGCATAGAATTTGATGCACTTACTGGAGGCAAGATTTCTTCTATAGACATGGGTTCACCTGTTGTACGGATGTCCTACAGTCCCATCAGTGGTCATATCGTGATTGCAATTCTTGAGGTAACTGTAATTCTCATCTACTTTTTGGTTTTTCTAGAGGTATATTCTTGTGCTCCATTAGTGGACGTTAACGTAACTTCTCGCGATGATGCTTGTTAATGTATTTTGAATTCAATTTACAACAAAAAATATCTTACTGTATTCTTGCTTTGTAGCTCTTGAAGACTTGTATGGAAATATGTTCTTGTACATGTTATTAGTTACATGCAATATTCTTGAGTTCCAAAAGAATGTGAGTTGCATTTCTTTGCAAGGGAAAATTAAGTAGATCCTGTTTGTTTTGTTCATAGAATATTGAAGTTCGTTCTATTTCCCAAGCACTCGGCTGCTTCTTGGGATACACTCTCCATCCATGGCAATTAGGATTCTTGGTTGGGTCTTAATTGTTTAAGGTGCTGACATTGCAGCACTATATATCAAGTTCGAATCTTACTGTTGAACTGCCCAAAAGAGTTGATCAAAAAATGTGGATGACAGTCTTCCAGTCAAGTTTGACGGTCAATTTTGCATGTGGACTGATTGGAAGTAGCTGTTTCGTTTCATGTTTAATAAGGAAGGTTTTATTTTTGCTATGGGGATTCGGTAGTGAAATTTTTTGAATATCAGGAGTGCGTGGCTTCCAAGGGAGTAAGTTTGCGTTTCTAACATTTCTTTGAGACAAGATAATGAACCCAACATTCCTACCAATATGAAATCATTTAACTATTTCATATTCAATTTCTGAAGTATCTCCCATATTTTTTCTGTGAAGAGGAGTAACTCTAATGGATTTTTATATAGATGGTAAGTTATGCAGAGTATTCTGAGGTTGCTTATGCATATCGATGTGAAAGCATATCAATTTCTGAATCAGTGTTTCAAAACTCACCTAGTACTGAGTCAGCTCTTGATGGGGCTTTGGCTTGTCCTGAGCTAGGCCTCAGCACTCGCCCAAGTCTCACTTTAATTTTTTCTCTCCTGTGTCAAATTTTTTATAGATTTGGGAGGGTCTTGTTACGAATCGAGTCCGTCTGACTCGGGATTGGGGCCCTAGCAAGTCCTGACTCGAGTCCTATTTCTTAAGCACTGTGCTTAATTATCTCCCAGTAAGGACAGGAGCGAAACCCTTGTCTTCTGAAGCATACCACTTTTTGACATCTCAATCTCAACAATTAAACTTCCATATGATTTTTTTTATTTTTATTTTTTAAATCCCTAGTTTATGGTCTTACTAATGTACTGGAATACCTAACTATATTATATAGTGTGCAAATTACAAATAACTCAATGGAGTCTGGAAGACGACAAAAGCATTTTTGCTTTACAAAGACCCTATACTCCCTTATTTAAGATGAAAGTAGATGACACAATATTATTGAAGAGATGGGACTACATCCAAAATGAAGCAAATTAAAGATCATAAGCTTGCTTCAGTTAGAAACCAATGCAGTGAGTTTGTTTTTGTCAGCAAGTTGGCTGACATAGGTGTCCTTGGTTTTTTAATTATGAACAAAAAGTTTCATTACTTAAAATTAAAGGAAACCCAAAATGTATGGTTAAGAGATGTCAAGACGACAGCTCAGAACTCCAACATTAAATTTTGTGAACAAAGAGAAACTCCTGAAGAAGCCCTTGATTAGCAATGTTCCTGTCCTCATGGTTGGCACTCCTTAAAATTTGCAACAATCCTTAGTATCACAAATGTTGAGGATGTCACCAAAAATCATTACCACCCTCTTTGGAATAGGTCTCATTACAGGCCCATCTAATGGCATTAAAACAATCCCCCTCTACTACTAATCTTGATGGCAGGGGCAGATCAGTGGAACTGTAACAACCCTCTGCTAATGTAGAATCACATAAATACAATGGGCTCAAATAACTTGCTGACATAGGCCTCCTTGTTGCCCCTTGCCTTTGTTGATGTAGATCCTGTCTTGGCAATTAGTACTTACATGACATATAATCTATGTGGGAGGGCCATTGAGCAGCTTGAAGAAGCCTGGGCTCGGTTATGGAAAGTGGAAACTGAGGCAGATGGGTTTCGAGTGAATGGATACTTTGAGATAGAATGAGAAAAAAGGAATTTGATTGATGTTGCTTTTGGAAATTTAGAACGCTTAGAAAATTAGAAAAATGAAAGCATTCATTTTGAACTAGAGCGATTATTCAAGTCCGAAAACGAGTTTTCCAACAAGCCTTGCAAGGAGCTCTAGAAACTCTGAATAGTTACTTGAACAACGAGTTACATTCACGCACCATCAGTGCTAATATTGGCATTCTCGGGACCATGAAAAAATATAACTGATAAGTCTCCCACTACAATCGGCATTAAATCTGTTTTTCTTTTTTGTTTACCCTTTTATTGCTTCTGAAAAAAGATTAAAGAGACTAATGTTACCACTCGAGCTGACAAAATTAGTACAATTATCTGTGAATGGGCCACCTATGGGGCCATAGGGCATATTAAGTACCTTTCAAAGTCATTGAGCAAGAAAATCAAAAAAGTATTTTGTATCTACAAAGTTGCAATCTTGTAGATGATCTTTTGGAAGTTGGTTAACTTTTGTTTGGCTTGTAGAGAATGTTTCAAAAAGCGGTCGGGGGGGTCTAGGCCGCCCAGAACCTGGACGGCCCAGCAGACATTTTTTTTTTGGGGTTTTTCTCTCTCTAAAATAAGCTCTAATGGTTTTTAGGTTTCGAATGAACCTAAAACCCACAATTTTGCCCCTTTAATATTAAAAAAATGACCCAAAAAATACCCTCAATGAGGGGCATTTCCGCCCTTGGGCAGCCGTAGGGGCGGGCGCTTAGGTGGGTTCCTGGCCGCCTAGGCGGGTGACCAGGGATATACGCCTAATTTGGCCGCCTAGGCCTGGGCGATGCGCCCAGGCCTTCTAGGCCGCCTAGGTGGCCCCCCAGGCACTGGGCGGTCCGTTTTTTAAAACACTGCTTGTAGACCTTCGTACCAGGCTGAGCTGAGAAAGGGTTTACTGATCCTGTGTATGAATGGGTTCACCAAAATGCTTTAACATTTGAAATTTCATATATTCCGCGTTAGGATTGGTTGAAGTCATTTATTGAATCTGACCATTTGTGGCTTTTAATGATTGATACTCAAACTACAATCTGATTCTTGATGAGTCTTTTCGTCTGATTGCTCAAATCCATTCCTCCGAATTAATAGTTGCTTTTGCTCTCCATTTTCAATTTATCAATTTGATTATGTTATTGTGCCGATTTTTTTTTTAATGCCATCTCATGTTTCTTCCAATTTGCATAGAATTTATTCTCATTTATTGTTTTGTAGGACTGTACTATCAGATCATGTGATTTTGATACTGAGCAGACATTTGTGCTACATTCTCCTGAAAAGAGGACGGAGCAAATAACTGCTGATACTGAAGTTCATATGACTTTGACTCCCCTCCAGCCTCTTGTGTTTTTTGGTTTTCACAGGAGGATGAGTGTGACAGGTAGTGCACTCTCTCATATTGTACATTGTACTGATATATCTTCTTTTTTTTTTTTTTGAGAATGTGGTACTGATATATCTTTTGGAAGTGGATAACAAAATATTGACTTTGACTAACCTACTTGGTCTGTCTGCAGTTGTTGGTACTGTAGAAGGAGGAAGGGCTCCCATGAAAATTAAAACTGATCTTAAGAAGCCTATTGTGAACCTTGCTTGCCATCCCCGTCTACCTGTCCTGGTATGTCCAATGGGTGATAGAAGTGCATCCTTACTGGGAAACAAGGCAACATGCATGCCTTACATCTACATTCTTGGCTTATTCTGATTAATACCTTACTGGCCATTGGGACTTTTATTAGTGCTTGACTGTCAGCTTTTTGTTTTAGTATGTGGCTTATGCAGATGGTTTGATTCGAGCTTACAATATACAGACATATGCTGTTCAGTATACATTACAGTGTAAGATGAAAATGCACCACTTGTTTGTTTTTGGAGATCATCTATCTAATACTTGTCCTATTATGGTTCCTTGATTGAAAGAATTTTTTTTTTAAATGGTGTTAATTTTCATGTTTATTATTTGATGCAGTGGAAAATTCAATTAAGTTGATTGGAGCTGGTGCATTTGCTTTCCATCCCACCTTGGAGTGGATATTTATTGGTGATAGACGGGGTACACTTCTGGCCTGGGATGTGTCAACAGAGAGACCAAACATGATAGGGATGTAAGTCTATGATGTTCCGGCATTGTGATTTCCATTTCTTTCGTATTACAGTGCTATATAACTTGGAGCTAGTAGAACTACTCTCTTGTGAACCATATAGCAGATGTGGTTCACTGAAATTAATTCAAACCTGCAGCATAAGAATGTGAAAATCATAAGAAGGTGAGTATGATAGTATCAAAATAAACAAAAAATCTTAAGAATGGTTTTGTTTTAGGATATTTTACATTTTGGTTCACTTTGAATATTTTCTTTAATCAATGTGATTAGGAATTGGATGAAGGAAATCGGAAAATTGAACAAGTTCCAAGCAAGCACAAGCACAACTTGAAGAAATATGGGATTTCTTATTTGAACCCTTACTAGGGATCCTGGCAAAAGCTTCCTTTTCCTTTTCCCTCTATTAAAAACAAAATGCCAATAGTTCCCTTTTTTCTTTATTTTTCCTATTTTTTTTTGTTTGAATGTTAGCAGTTAGTAATGGTTTTTTTTCTCAAAAAAACTGTTAGTAATGGGTTAGCAATTTTTGAAGCACTTAGTAGTTTTCAAAAGGGGTTGCCATTGGTAGGAATGGAAATAAAGACCAGTAGATGAGTCATAGGTGGTGTTAGTTGAGTCACAGGTGGTGTTACTACCTTGACTTCAACCCCATTCCACACACCTCCTTTTATAATGTAAAAGGAACTCAAAGTAACCAATACCATTCACCCCAATAAAAATGACTAAATTGGCCAAACTTAAACTAAATTGCCATATTTGTCCTTAACTAAAAAATAAAAGAAATTAGAACTAAAACAGAAAAAAATCTGAAATAATAAGAAATCCACAAGAGAAAAAATCCCTATTAGTGCTTGCTCTTTTTATTCTTCTTTGTAGCTCGTTTGGGATTTGTAACCTCCACATTGATACACACATTAGGAGGAATCTGCTCGTTAATCATACTTGCACATCATCATTCTCCCTTGGTTGAAGAGAACTCGCCCTCGAGTTAGAACCCTCATCATCAACCACCTCTAGTCCATGATACTCAGGCAAATTAGCAATGTTAAAAATTGGAAAAGTACACAAAGAGGGCATGTACTTTTGGTTGGAGGTCATAATCACTCTTGTCCATCAAATTTCAATCGGGTTATTGTAAGAGTGTCATTGGCTACACTCAAAGTTCAAAAAAAATTTCTCGAACTTCGTGACATAGCCCAAGCCATCCAATTTTACATCTAATGACTTGAAATAATTGTGACCTCCTTGTGTCAAAGATAAATGGTCTCATATTGTATAATTCCTTAAAATATCAGAGGTCTCCATATTTGAAGGTAGTGCGACCTTATAGGCATTGCTGTCTATCTTTAAGATCTTGAATGATCCTTCCTTCTGGTCATTCATTTTGTTGTACTTGCTTGCTGGATGCCTCTCCTATATGATGTATACCATTACCAAATCACCCAAATTGAACTCCTTGAAATGATGATGTTTGTTCGCAGCCTCTTCATACATGGTTGTATTAGCTTTTAAATGAGCTCGCACCTGCTCATGGGCTTCTTTCATCTGCTCAACCAACTCCTCAGCTGTGGTATGACCCTTCCCATTAGTCTGAATAGGAAGAAATCCAGTGAGTGGTAGGGTTCTGGCCATAAACATGGCTGCACTTTAAACGGACCATTCCCAGTGGATCTGCTAAGAACACTGTAATAGGAAAATTTTGCTTGAGGTAGTGCTAGATGCTGCAGTTTCTTCTTTTCTCCCACTATACTTATGAGAAGATTCCCTAGAGTATGATTTAGCACTTCAGTGTGCCGATCTATCTGTGGGTTATAGGTGTTACTGAATTGTAATCAAGTACCCAATTTCTTCCACAAGGTTCCCCAATAATGGTTGAGAAAATTAGTATCCCGATTTGAAGTGACCATTTTCGGAACACCTTGTAATCTCTCTACCTCTCTGAAGTACAGATTAGCATCATGTGTAGCATCTAATGTCTTGTTGTAAAGCTATGAAACGAGCCATTTTTTAAAATCTATCTGCTACCACAATAAAGAGTCTGCAAAAACCCAACACAAAATCCATGCTGATATCCTCCCAAGGTGCATTAGGAATTGGAAGTGGATAATAAAGTGTCGTGTTTTGTGTGTTTCCCCTTATCCAGCTGACATGTATGATGTCTCTATAAACCAAGTAACATCCCTCGTCGACCTTGGGTAGAAATTCTCCACCAGTGCTATGGTTTCGTGCTGTTTAAGATGTCCACCTAGATCTCCTCAATGAAGCTCTACTATAAGAGTCTGTCGAAGCCATCACTGGGTTGAATCTATATCTTCTTGAAATCAACATGGTAGTCAATAAAGCTACCTTCTACTCAGAGCATTTGCTACCTTGTTCTGACTACTTGCTTTATGCTGAATGACAATAGTGAACTCCTGCAAATAGGCCACGTAACTAGCTTGCCCCTAGTTCATCTTGTATTGCCTATTAATGTACTTCAGCGCCTAATGATCTGAGAGCAAAAGAAACTCCCTCGGAATCAAGTAATGACACTGACGCCTCAAAGCCTGAATAAAGGTCCGCATAAGTAAAGTAGCGTTGTCGGGTCTCAGTCAACATTCATTGAAGAAGGCTACTGGATGCCCTCTTGGCCCAACACTGCACCAATGCTGACATGTAATGCATCACAATCCAACTCAAAGAGCTTATCAAAGTCGGGAATACCAACACGATCCTTGGCCATCTTTTGTGTCACTAGCTGAAAGCTCTTCTTGGGCTTTTTGTCCACAAAATTGCCTCCTTTAGGGAATGTGATAGGCGCAATAATCAATCTGATGCCTATGATGGAGGGCATGGTTATCAGGGCATACTTTGAGAACTAATCTGGTTTGAATAGGTACAAGCCTGTGACAAATCTCCTTTCGATCTAAAACGAGAAGACCACTTGTAAGCTCGGAAATGTTTCCTATTCGAGTCCAGCCAGCCCATGGAAACTGCGAACATCATGAACTGTAGTGGGAGTAGGCCAATCTCTCATTGCTGCTACCTTCTTCTGATCAACCTTGATACCCTCAACTGAAACAATGTAACCAAGAAAAATCATGCTGCCCATCGTACAATCACACTTCTTCAGTATCACGTGCAATTGCTGTTCCTGTAACAGATTAAGCACTAGTCGCAAGTGCTCCATATGTGCTTGCTCACCAATGCTCACTTGTATGGAATTGAAATAGACCACCTTCGAAATTCCCAATAAAATGCTTGAATATCTATGCCATCACCCTCGTAAAGGTACTAGGAACATTAGAGAGGTCAAATGACATCACTAACCACTCATAAAGGTCCTCTCGCCTTTTAAATATAGTCTTCCACCTATCCGTTGCTGGATACGGATCTGATGGTATTCACTCCTCAATTCTCTTCGAGAAAACGGTAGCACTGGCCAACATGTCCAAAATATCATCTAGATATGGAACTGGAAAGCGGTTCTTGATCGTAATCTTATATATGGCCTTGCTGTCCACATATATATGCCGTCCTATCCTTCTTAGGTGTCAAGAAAGCTGGGATGGTGCATGGACTTATGCTTTCTCAAATGAACCCCTTTTGTGAAAGCCTTATAACATGCTTGGGTAACTCTTCATGTTCTTTTAGGCTCATCCTATATGCTACATTGTTCGGTAAGCTAAAACCAGAAAGAAGGTCTGTGCGATATTGGATGTCCCTCATAGGTGGTAATTCCTCGGGAAGCTCATCTAGGATGGCATCACAATAGTCCCTCACTAATGTCTCCAATTGTGGTGGAACCCAACTGGTAGGCTGCTCTTCCACAGGATGCATTGTGTATAACATAAAGATCTCCTCCAAACCCTCATAAGGTCACACTCTCCCTTCTGACTTGGAATGTATTTTCTGTCTTGGATGGGCCTAAAACCACCTTCACCCCGTCGTTGACAAGGTAGGAGGTTTTGTTAAACCCCCATCATGTATAGTGCGCCTGTCATACTGCCACAGTTTACCCAATGACGGATGACTCGCGTCCATAGGCACTACGTCACCTCAAAATTCATCTTTCTAGTGTTTTGAATTGAAAAAGAAACCAAGCAACATTTAAAAACTATTACCTTGTTACCCTTCTTGAACCAGGCTACTTCTAAACAGCTCCCTTGTTACCCTTCTTGAACCAGGAACTCTTTGTCTTCAAAATTTCAGCTTATCTACCATCTCTTGGGATATAATATTCGTGCAATTGCTTCCGTCAATTATGAAATCCTCTCCGCTTGTTTATTATGCCCAGTGGTAAGGGTTTGGGACTCGATCTAGGTCTAGACCACTCAAACCGGATGGGTACAACCATACTAGTCCATAGGGCCTAACTCCCACTAGAGTACATATCTACTATAGTCATGAGTTTTAAGTACTCTCAAGGCTTTAAAGGCCACAAACCCCAACACTAACCTCAGCTAAAATGCATTTTAATCGAGGAAAGTGCAGTCTTTTTCCTTGTCCCAACTCATCCTTTGGCTCAGGAAGCTTGAAATCCTCATATTCAAATTCGAAACGGACAAAGCTTAGCCTTTCACCATGGTTGGCATCCTTCGGAGGCCTAAAGAAGAGCAAACTATGGATTATGGCTTGAGGGGATACCCCTTCATGGATGGCATCTTGATATCTTTTGGAAGATCGGTTGTGGGGCATTCATCAAGGTCAACTCAGACAACCTTTAGTCTATCTTGGTCACAGTGTCACTGTCCAGAGGACTGATGATTTTAAGCTGAAGTTTTCCTTGGGCTATGGCTTCAATAGACCAAATGTTAGAGAAGTTTTGTGGTAACAATTAGATAGGGTAGTGTCACGCCCCAAGAATTTACAATACTGATATTCTTGAGATGTGACAGTCAAAACATATATACATCTTTTTTTAGGACAAATTTACAATGGCGAATTCTTATAAAGTAACAAAAAAAGTTTAAGCACAACAACAATATCTTCCAGAGTTGATCCTGACGAGCACTCAAAAT